TATAGTACATCTATACAATGAATGTATTTATTTAAAATAACAAGGTCAATCTATAAATGCTGAAACAGAAATAATATCCAAATTGTATTCACATTAACCTAAACATGAAAGAAACTTTCAAAGTGAGAGACACAAGCCTTGATTTGAGATCAAAAGAAAAGCTAGGTATTAGGGCACACTGATTCAGATGGTAGCTCAAATAGTGCTCAGATCAGGAGACAAAGGCAATGGTATTTCTGAGAAAAGGAAACCACATCAATAGAAGGAAGGCTTTTCTACTGGTACAGATAGCATAACATAGTGGTATTAATTCTAAATAATGATTTTAATTGTCAGTCTGGTCATCTCCGTGGGGTGGTCATCTCCGCTTTACTATCTTTGCAAAAAGTTCTCTGGCACACAAGGTTGCTTTAGGCCATCAAAGGTTATTTTGCCCTGTTTTAACATTCCAAGTACTTTAGACATAAGAGGTGCCAGGCAGTTCCTCCAGCATGGCCCCATTTTAAAGTGGATCCATGTATTTGTTTTTGTTTTGACAATACACATATTGTGGTAGCCAGCTTCCAAAATGACCCCTAGTGATCCTTGCCTCCTAATGCTCTTTGGTAGTCTTCTCCCAAACTGAATTGAAGCCAGACTGTGTAATCAAGAGTATCGTGAAAATGACGTTGTAGGACTCCTGAGGTAAGGCTCTAAAAGGCATTGCGGCTTCCCCCATATCCCCTTGGCTCACTTTTTTTGAGGGAAGCAGCCTTTGTGTTATGAGGTCACTTGAACAGCCTTGTGGGGAGGCCCACGTGAAGAGAGACTGTCTTCTGCCAACAGCTAGCACCAACTTGCCAGCCCTGTGAGGGAGCCACACTGGACATGGATGACTGCAACCTCACAAAATCCCCAAGCCAGAACCATCTGGCTAAACTGCTCCTGAATTCATGCCCATAGAAACTGTGCAAGTTAGTAGATGTTTATTGTTGTTTTAAGCGACTACATTTAGAGGTAATTGATTATGTATAAATGTAACTAATACATAGTATAACTCCCCTTTTTCTAAAAAAGAGCATACAAGTACACAGGTGTATACATGCATAGAAATATCTCACAGGAAACACAAAGGGAGTAACTGGGTTCTGACATGGTGGGTCAGGAGGGGAGATGTTCACTTTTTACTATTTGCTCATATTCTTGTCCTTCATTTTACTAGATTTTGTCCCACTCCGAAGACCTACCTTTGAAATAGGGTATTCTTTAAAGGCCTTAGAATAAACCAAATATTGGAGGGTTGGTTGTTTTTGTTTTTAATATTGATACATTTCACTGAGAACATCAGCCCCATGACTGGACTGCTGCTAAGGCAGGAATCCCGATTTAATTATTTGCATTTAATAAGGCAGTAATGTTGCAATAACTCTTTGCGGGATGAAGGAATGAACCACTCACACCATGTTAGGTGCCGATGGTTTGCTTTGCGTTCATGATGGAGCCCACATGCTGGGGCTGTGGTTTCTGCAGGAGGAGGTGACCCAGAAGTCCAGTTGTGTCTGATTTCTCACCAGTAAAGATGGATCCTGGGAAATATTCCACAGACTGACCAAGTGGTAGAGACCAGGGCAGCTCATACCCAAATCACAGAATTCTTCATCCCCCTCAATAAAGACATTTCCAAAGAGTGACTCCAATGACAGTATTTACATTTAAATAGAATTCAGTGAAATCCCATGCCTTGAATACAATGGAGAACTCCATACCTGACGGCTTTGTTTTCTCTTTTCATTTCAGAATTGGGGGTGAGGGGTGGACTAGAGGCATGCTTCGAACTACAATGGAGTCAGAGAGTTCTCTTTTAAGACATCCAAACTCTGCAGCACAAAGCGGTCATTTTAGTCAATGATACCGGGGCTGCAGTGACAAAATGTACCTTTGATTTGGTGATACATTCATTCCACTCCCCTCATGAGCCTCCTAAAGCTTAAAGTTTCAGGAACAAAGATGTAATCACTGAACTATGCATACTGATGAGATTATAGCCTCAGGATTTATGAGATTGAGATAACCAGGAAATTAATTACGTCTGAAACTCCTGCTGCAAACAATCATAACATTCAAGGAAATGCCCAGTAAACCAATTCCAATCAAGTCAGTTTAGTTAATGTGTCCTGCACCGTGAAGGCAAATCCACATTACTTTAAAATTGAGAGAACCTCTTGGTAAATGGAGCCTGTGGAATGCTAAATATTCAAACTTTGAGGTGGTTCAGAAAAATCAGACCACAGGAAGACCGCTAACACCAGAGCAAAGACACCGCGCCCAGCACTTCTGTGCTCAGAACCAGAGTTCGCATACGTCCCACGGAGTGTCATTCAGGTGGGCCAGGGCTTCGTGAACCACTTCCCAAAGGCACAAGAAACAAATATAACTTGAAAAGCTTTTGCTTTAGCAAAACACATTCTTATGACTGTATTTCTCAAATTATTTCCTTTATACTTCTTAACGTATATTCAAAGACTTGGTTAAAATGAACCAAGAAAAATACTTCATCTTCAATGGGGCAATGATTAATTTATGATTATCCATACATGCAATACTACCTAGTCATTAAAAATGAGGAAGATCCATTTGTACTGATTAAGAATATATATATATATATATATATATATACACACACACACACACACACACACATACATATGTGCACATATACACATTTATATACACATATTCTTATTGTAACATATTCATTTTTATTTGAAGGGTTAATATACATATATATTGTGTACAAACAAATTATAAAAATTAACCTGCTGGGAGATGAGAATGAGCATGGGTAGCAAAGAAGAAAATGTTTCAGCTATATATTTTTGTTCAGTTGGGTTTTTTAGCATGTGTTATGAAAATGACTAATAAATAAATGGCAAATACCAAACATTTTTTCCACGGAATCCCTCCATAGAGCACCTGCAAGGCCTGTGAGCCAATTGTTTCTGCTCCCTTGTATTCCGTGTCCACCATCTTTTGCTTTCTTACCTGTAAAATGGAGACAACCCACAAGCCTGCTAGGAGACTCAAAGCAGAGAAAGCAAGAAGGCAGGCAGACACAACTGGCACTGACGTGAAAAGAGGCAGACCGGAAATGAGATCTCGTTAGCAGACAGAGGAATAATAGTAATAATGCTACATAATGTGTATGACTGCATACATGTGCCAAATGTTTAATCCTAATAATTCAGTGAGAAAGACATTATCCTCACTTTACAAATGAGGAAACTGAAGCATAGAAGTATCTCCCCTAAGGTAACAAAAAAAATAAAGAAATGCTAGAGTCAGAATTCAGCCCTGCCTGGCAGCTCAGGATTGGCACTCTCAGCCAGTAGGCTGTGCTGCTTCAAAACAGATTGGTAAAATTTCCCAAGATTCATGAATCAAGTGTGAATGAGCATTTCAGGAAACAGGTACAAATGCACTTTTTGGTAGAAGTATAAATTACTGAAGGCAATCTGGCAAGAGTTACCAAAATTTAAAATTTAAACAGGTATCTAACTTTTTACCTGGCCATTCTACTTCTAGGAACACATCAAAAAACATCTGCACACAGATGTTCAATCCATAGATAGGGAAATGACTAAATACATCACAATATAGTCAAAACATTTAATAGTCTGTATCCTTTAAAAATGAAGGTCAACCTATGGGTGCAGACATGGAAAGAATTCTGAACTGTAAGTAAATGAAAAACAACTCCCTTAGAGCAATATGTACAGTATGGCCCTTTTTATGTAAAAATAAGGTGTGAGCCTCGCATAATTTCTTCTTAGTAGAAAGATGTTGCTTGCCCTTTTACATTCCTTCCCTCACACACACACACACACACAATTCAGAAAGAAGTTGTAAAAAATAGTCATGTGAGCCCTCGCTGATTTGGCTCAGTGGATAGAGCACTGGCCTGCGGACTGAATAGTCCCGGATTCGATTCTGGTCAAGGGCACATGCCTGGGGTTGTGGGCTTGAACCCCAGTAGGGGCCGGGCAGGAGGCAGCCGAACAATGATTCTCTCTCATCATTGATGTTTCTATCTCTCTCTCCCTCTCCCTTCCTTTCTGAAATCAATAAAAATATTTTTAAAAAATAGTCATTTATAAATCATACAATAAAATAATTATTTCAAAAAGTCACAAATACAAGTCATATAAAGTCAGTCTGTAGCCAAGTATTCCCTAGATATATTACTGCAAATCACATCTATTTTAGTTTTTTTTTCCCCAAACAGATGCGGTTCAAACCCGGCGAAGGCTTTATAATTTCATATTTGATAACAAAGGACCAAAACTGACAATAAATAGTCCAACAATAATTTCTTAACATACTAAGTGGTCAATTCTGATCCTTGTTGCGAAACTCAGGCTACCTGAAGATTTCGCTGAAGTCAGTAAAAAGTTACACAACATTTGTATTTTCAAGTTTAAAATCCTGTTGCATTTTCCTCGAAATGATAATGATACATATAAAAGCTCAAGAGTAATAAAGAAATTGAAAGATCCAGAAGTCAACAAACCAATTTCATTCCAAGCAGACACAAAGCATTCTGTCTGCTTCTCTTTTTAAAAACTACCAGGACCCTTTGTCCAGTAGCAGCAGCAGCCAGACCAGTGGGTCTCAGACCTAGTGTGCCTAAGCTTTGCACAGAAGCTTGTCAGCATGCAGGCTCCTGGGGGCCTGTTCCCAGATTCTGAGTTCTCATTCCTGAGTCTGACGAGCCTGCCTTTTTAAACAAAAAGCTCGCTGACTTCGATGAAGTGGTGCAAGAACCCCACTGACCATTCAAATGCTGCTGCCCAACCCTAACTTGCCGCCACAGGTTAGAAGCCTGACTCTGGGCAGCTCCTTCGCCTCTTTAAAAGTTCCTTCCTCCATCAACTCAATCAATTGGACAGATCATCCCTGAGGGTTCTTAAGCCCTAACAAGACTGTGGTTGACCCCAGATGTGTAAGAAATGTAGTTTAAGCCCTAACAAGACTGTGGTTGACCCCAGATGTGTGTAGCTTCCACTAAGAACTTAGTCTTTATGCCAAAACCAGTTTTTGCAAGTCACTGGGTTTCTGTTTCGTGTGTGTTTTGGGGGGAGCCACCTTCTAAAGTCTGCTTCTGTAAGTTCCATTCAGGGAGCATCTGAGTAGAGAAATTCTGAAACTGGCATTTATGTTAACTTAGTGGATTTTCTTCATGCGAACAGGGAAGCTTCCAGCAATCCTGAAAGGTACTGGATGTACATGGTACGTGGTAAGACCCTCTTGGTTAGGAAACAACAGAAACGTCCCCATAACATTAAGCAAGCTCCAAAGCCTCCCGTAAAACTTCCATCTGCGGAGCTGGAATACTCAATAGGAGGTCTTAATGGTGGTTGAACTTGAAGAGTAAGAGCTGGATTTCCTGGAGGACTTCTTTGATGGGAGGGATATTTGCATCCGCTTTGCCTTACGGACACTGCGACAAAGAAGAGCGTTCTTTGCATGATTCCTAAAGTCTTCTGAAACAAAGTAATAGACAAAGGGGTCGATGCAGCTGTTGAGGGTGGTGAGACAGAGGGCTACGATGTACAGGGTGTAGACGTAGCTCTGGCCCCAGTGTTTAATCGTGAAATAGTGCACCACGAGCAGAATGTTACTAGGAGTGAAGCAGACCAGGTACATGACCAGGACAGTAACAATCAGTTTGATGGCTCTCCTCCTCCTCTTTCCTGAGTTTTCATCGATGGCAGAAGATTTCAGTATTCTGATCATCAGCACATAGGCAGAAGCCATGAGGATGGCTGGGAACAGGAAGACTCCGATGGCCAGAGAGAGGAAATACTTGAACATGTCCTCCACCAACACCTCCTCCGGTAAGACATCATGGCAGGTTGTGATGTTGAGGGCTGGGATGTAACTGGTCTGCTTCACGAGATACAAGGGGATGGTCACCAGCAGAATCAGCAGCCATATTCCCAGGGAGATACCGATGGCGAAGTTTGCGTTCTTCCTGGTGTGCCCCATGGGGTTCACAATCACCCAATACCTCTGCACGCTGAGGCAGGTTATGAAGAGAATGGAGCAGTACATGTTGCCATAGAAAAAACCAATGAGTACCTTGCAAAGAGATTCCCCATAAATCCAGTTGTTGCCATGTATATGATAGGCAATCTTCATGGGGAACCAGATGATAGAGAGGAGGTCTGCCAAGGCCAGGTTGGCCATGTAAACCACTGCAGGGTGCTTCTTCTTCGTTCGGAAAAGGAAGATCCACAGGGCTATGCCATTACTGGGCAAACCAACCACAAATACAACCATGTAGACGATCGGAAGAAAGACAGTAGTCAGCTTTCCAGTCAGGAGGGAGGCAGAAATCTCATCCACAGAAAGGCCTGGCTGCACTGGAACGCCTTTCCCAGGGATTCGAGTTGAGTCATCGACTCTACCAATTATACTTCTTCCTTTAGAGGGTTTATTGACTCCTGTACAAGAAAGGCAAGGCAGACAAGGGTCATTCCAGAAATCAACGTTTCAGCAGTAATGCTGGTAGGCGCAAGTAAAAGAACTGTAGATAAAGACAGAAGGAGTACACAGAATGCACACAGAATGCTTATGGGGCTGTCTCTAGATGATTGGATTAGTGGGATTTCTGTTGCCTGGTTTTTTTGTTTACAGTGAAATTTTCTCAATCAGAGAGAGGGTTGTGGAGTATGGGTGGAATATAACATTGATTTCTATGAATCTCGATAAAACTGACAGTATTCAATTTATGTTTACAAACTGTCCACACTCATTAATTCCTAACTGTTCATATAAAGGCCATCTCACGCTGGCTGAGACAGGATCCAGCCTGGCCTATCAATCATTCGTTATCCCAAAGCACCACACAGGGAGATTCCCAGGAGCGCAAGGGACATTCCCGCTCCACCCACAAGGACAGCCTCCGGCAAGGCAGGGGTTCCCCCGCCTCCTTCTGTGTGGGCCTCCTGGAAACCTTCACCAGGAGGTCAGCGGGCAGGCCAGCTTTCTGGCGTCAAGGTGACTGGACAGGTGGGTGCACCAAAGACAAATATGTGTTCTGACTTTCAAGCAAGTAACATGGCGAGCTTTAACAACTTACTCCTCCCCATAGTATGAGTTAAACGTTAGAAACCACAAACAAATGAATGACATATTCAGCCTACAACCTGCCTCAACTAAGTGTTCAGGGACCTGCAGAAGAAAATGAAGGACCGTTTGAGGACACTGCACAACCTTATTTTAATTCTGAGGGGGGGCAGGCCTTCCACCCTGCAGAGGAAACAGGGCAAAGTACACCACAGTACACCAGGGAGAACGTTAAGCCTACTCTCAAGTTTATCTGATAATTTTCATGCTTAGTCATCACTTTTTCTCCTAGCTCTGCACCCAGGTTCAGCAGGATGAGTGGGACTTCTGCGCATGGGCCAAGAAGTTTCAATCGCACTGTATGTGTGTGCGCGCGCGCAGTGGTATTTTGTGGACGAGCCACACTCAAGGGGCCAAAGAGCTGCATGTGGCTCGCGAGCCGTGGTTTGCCGACCACTGGCCTAGGTGGAGGGTTAGAAGGTGTAGAGATCAATACTTCACTTTTCACTTAGTATAGCAGGTTGAAAGGTGGCCCTCAAAAGGTATGTCCATGTCCTAATCCCTAGACTCTGTGATCACTACCTCACTGAGAAAAAGGGTCTGTGTAGATGTAATGAAGGATCTTAACATGAGATCATCCTGGATTATCCAGGTGGGCCCCAAATCCAATGGCAAGTGTCTTTATAAGAGAAAGGCAATGGGAGATTTGAGAGAGAAAATAGAGAAGAGAGGAAAGAGGTGTGAAAAGGGAGGCAGAGATCGTAGTAATGCCAAGAAACAAGCCAAGGAACACCAACAGCCACCAGAAGTTAGAGGAGGCAAGGACCGGATTCTCTCCTTGGGACCTTCAGAGAGACAAGACCTTGATTTCAGACTTCTGGCCGCCACAACGGTGAGAGAATAAATTTCTCTTGGTGAAGCCACCATTTTTTTGGCACAGGAAACTAATACACTTAGGATAGACCTACCTCTTGTTCCAATTTCTTTTATAATTTTTTAAAAGAACATGATTTTTAAATAAAAATAATAATCCTACATATTACAGTGTTCTTTATATACTTGACTATTGCCCATAGCAAGAAACATACTCTGTATGGTAACCTACTTCCAATATAAATGTCTGAAATAGAAAGGAAAGTTTCACAAAATAATTATTACCCTCATTACGCAGGGAACACTCATACTTTTTATTGTGTTCTATTCCATCCTTATAAAAAGCCGGTCACCACCCTCTACATTAATTTCATGAACCACATATGTGTTTTTCAAAACCAGTTAACAGAATGACCAATTGTGAGAGCAGGGGGTTACAGGATTACAGCTCTACAAAATAAACTACCTACTACCAGTAAAGGCTAACTCTTCTTCTTCTTTCTTCTTCTTCTTTTCAGACTTCAGCTTTTTATTGAACGTGTTACAAAAGAGCTTTAGTCAAAAGACCAGCCCTAGCCCGGTAATTCAGTTGATTAGAGCATCATCCCAACACGCCAAGGTTGTGGGTTCAATCCTGGTCAGTGCACATACAAGAAGCAACCAATGAATGCAAATTAAGTGGAACAACAAATTGATGTTTCTTTCTCTCTCTCTCAAATCAATAAATAATAATAATTTTTTAAAAATGGCCAAAGCCTATGTCACCATCAGACTCCTCAGATTCTTTTTTTTTATTTTATTTTATTGATTTTTCACAGAGAGGAAGGGAGAGAGATAGAGAGTCAGAAACATCGATGAGAGAGAAACATCGACCAGCTGCCTCCTGCACATCCCCCACTGGGGACGTGCCCGCAACCCAGGCACATGCCCTTGACCGGAATCGAACCCGGGACCCCTCAGTCCGCAGGCCGACGCTCTATCCACTGAGCCAAACCGGTTTCGGCAGATTCTTTTTTTTTAAGATTTTGAGAGAGAGAAGAAAGTGGAAACAATGAGACTCTGAGGCATTGGCTGAAGTGGCTTAGTTGGCTGGGCATATGTTTGAAGCTATAACACTAGTAAATGTTGAGATGCAGCTCAAATGTCGCTGAAGCCCTCTTAGCAAAGTGTGCAGGATTTTACCCTGTACAGTGTCCTATACCAGCCGATTTTCAACCGGTGTGCAGCAAGAATTTTTAAAACATACAATACCTGACTATGTAGTCTGGAGCACTGATCTCTTTTCCCTTAGATTGTCAAATCTAAAAAAATGACAACAACCAATACTACAATAGGCATCTGGGGTGAATGAATCAAAATTACACCTTTTTTTGTCAGATTGACAAAATATATATTTTTTGGTGTTCCACAGAATTTCAGTAATTTTAGTTTATGTGTGCCATGAGATGAAAAAGGTTGAAAATCGCTGTCCTATACCATTCACCAAATTCTTGTCTAGAACTGAGGCTATCCCAGCTCCCGACCATACGACCCACCTGTAAACCAGATAAAAATCACTTCAAGTCAGAGAGTGGAGAAGAAATTAAATAAATGCACACATGAAGTTTAAACACATTTAAAGTAGCTGGCTACAAAAGCACCCTCGTTTGGGAGCTGTAATCAACAGTACCTGCCCAAGTATGCAAGGACTCACTCCCACTGGGGCCCAGGGCAGCGCCTCCACCTCACTGACAAACAAGCAGGAAACACGCAAGGCTCACCAGCCCCCAGTCCTGACTTACCATATCCCCAGCAATCCTCGGCTTTAACAGTAGACACTATACCATTCAATAAATATTGAAAACAGAGCCACCATATACTGTCGATTGAAAAAAGCACTGGCAGAACATACTGCCATCTGTATAACAAAATTATAATCTATTTGCAAAATCTGAAGTTGAGAAGGGTACCCAAACTCTATGTCTGTGGATAAAATGGCTGGGGAAGGCACAATTTTCTTTTTTTTTACTCCACACCTCTCCATATTGTTGGGTTTCTTTTTCAAAGGAGTGCAAACTGGTGAAATCTTTTTGGAGGGCAATTTGGCAAAACATGTCAAAATTTAAAATGTGCTTGCCCTATGACCTATCAGTTTATTCCTAGGAATTTGTCCTGCACGTATACTAGCTAAAGTGCACAAAAATACTGTGTATACTAGACTATTTACTGGAATCTTGTTTATCGTGGTAAAACAAAAATGTTAGTCTTGACATCCATCAAAAAAGGGACTATGGTATAGCAGCAGTTCAGTCAAAGATGAACCACATGAAAGACGGTGGTCCCATAGGTTGTAATAAGGCTGAAAGATTCCGAACACCTAATGACGTCAGAGTGCAATGCACTGCTCACATTTGTGGTGATGCTGGTGTAAAACACCTACTGCACTGCCAGTCGTATAAAAGTACAGCACATACAATTATGTACAGAACATAATACTTGATAATGAACGAATATGTTACTAGTTTGTGCATTTACTATACTACACTTTTTGTTATTTTGCTGCGTAAAACAGTACACTGCTTCACACCAATGGCAGCCTTATACATCTCCTATTTACTGTGTCCCTTGGTTGCATCATTTTCTCTTGTGGTTGATTTAATCTCATGTTGTTTTGTACAGTGACATGCTGCATAGGCCTTTAGTCTAGGAGCAACAGTCTATATCAGATAGCCTAGGTGTGTAGTAGGCTATGCAATCAGGTTTGTGTAAGAAGTGCCCTCTATGATGTTCAAACAACAACATAATGGCCTGGTGACCATTACATTTCTCAGAAAGTATCCCCATCATTAAGTGGAGCATGACTGTGGTTCAATAACTTACGACATCTATACAATGAATAATATTCTCCCTATAAAGGGTGGACAGGCCACCACTGCTGTGTTTCCTGGGCACCTGTGTCTGTTTGTTCGTTTGTCCCAGCTGGTGGTGGCCACGCTGCTTTCTGGTAGAGGTGTGGTGTTGGTGGCTGCAGCCTCTGAGCTGGATGAAACATGCTCTCAGTGGAGGTAGGAGCCCAGTGGACCCGGAACCATGGCCAGTACAAGGGTAGCTGTTGCACTGACCATTGCTGGTGCAGGATTTGCAAGCCACTTTGTTTTGCAAGCCAGGAAGCATATGGAGCCTCAAGTCAAACAAGGTTTTCAAAGTCTACCAAAATCTGCCTTCAGTGGGGGCTGTTACAGTGGTGGGTTTGAGCCACAATGACAAAACGGGAAGCAGAATTAATGCTAGGTGTAAGCCCTACTGTCAATAAAGGATAAATAAGAGATGCTCATGGACATATTATGCATTTAATTATTTGTCTGAGAGAGAGAGAGAGAGAGAGAGAGAGAGAGAGTTAGTCGTTGTTCCACTTATTTATGCATTCATTGGTTGCTTCTTGTATGTGCCCTGAGATGGAACCAGCAGCCTTGGCATACTGGGATGAAGCTCTAACCAACTTAGCTACTGGGCCAGGGCCAAC